ACAGTCCTATGCTCCAGTAGGGGTCCAAGTGACAAACAACTGAGTTCTGCTGTTTATTTGAAAACGTGACTCTGTTCTGATGATTCATCTGATTTATATAGATCCAGTCAGTTGTTTTGCCTTCCCAAGATCCATCATTTCGTTAGGATCAGTTGAAGAGTCGTGAAGTTAAAATTATATTAGAAAAATTTTCACTTATTTTATAGGTGATGTTCTGTTGACGATGACACAAAGATACAACAGTAATGAGAAGTTTACAAAGAACAAAAAAGAAAAAAATCAGTGATACGACGATCGTCTTGTTTCGAACGGAAGGAAAGGGAATAGTTTGCTTCAGATCCGGTGTTGAGTACTGTAGTCGGGTAGCTTTATTGGATAAAGATGAACTGGGTTCCAGAATTATCATATCTATCTCACAGGGAAATTTCACAGATCATATATGTCTAATGTCACACAAACTCGAAGACGTACAGGCAGGGGAAAGCCAACAAACTCGCTGAAGACGCTGCCAACGAATACAGGGCTCCGAGTAAGCATAGAGGTGACAGAAGTAGGTGATGAAGATAACCAATCAACAAACCACCACCACCACAACAACAACCAGCACTAATCACTATCAACGAGACAGATTTGTCAGAGGTTCATTCCTGCCATCACTTTCCAAGTCAGCCAGCATCGTTTCAATCGCAGGCAATCGGGATGGGTGAAGATGTCAAAGTCAGAATCGGAAAAGCAAGATACGCATTTATCGACCTGAAACCCATTGAGGAATCTTCTACACTCTACGTAAAGAACATGATTCAGATTTTCAACACCTATGTGAAGTCGGTTAGTTCTTCAATACGTGCCAGCAACGGGCAATGCATGTCACAAATAGGATTTCCAAAAGGTCGAGGACTTTCGTTGATAGCTGTCTTTGCTGGTCAGTCAGAACGAATAAGCAACAAGAAAATCTGGCTGGAAAAAAAACAACAGAAGAGAGCGGATTGTGCAAAATGTGTTGGAGAAAGTGGAGATAGATCGGGCATGCATTGAGGAAGCAGTCGAATGACTTCGCGTGCCAGGCCAGTGCTCGAGTGGAATCCAAATGGGAAGCGACGAGTGGGTCGTCCGTGTGACGATGACATGGAGGAGGTTGTGTGAGGAGGAGAAGAGAGACTACGAGCAAACGTGGACCCAGCTGAAGAGGACTACAGAAGATAGGGCAAAGTGGAGATGTGTTGTTGAAGCCCTATGTTCCACTCGGAATCCGAGGGAATAATAATAATAATCCCACAGGTCAACAGGGTGATATCTCTCTGACCTAATATATTCTCATTTCTTCACTTCGAAACTGATTCATTTTCAAATGTCTTAAAAGAAATGATAACCGATTATCAACTCACTGAACTGTCCCATCAAAAATGTAGTATTGTGCTTCATCCAGCCTTCCTCATACCTTTCACTTTTGATACATCAGTAAATCAGAAGGTGAATAATCGGAGAAGGATTCAGATTTTTTTATTATTTAAATGTTTTCCCTCTCAAGCTGAAAGTTAATTGCCATAAATTATCATCTGACATGATCCCTGGTGGGGTGACGATCACGTGCTGTGAAGAGTCACAAACTAGGACAAAACAGTTGGGTCAAGTTAAACTTTAATCACGACTGACTACCAATGGAGTGTGACAGCATCAATGACCTTGAAACGCTCACTGAGCGAGTCGGTGAATCCTGCCAAACAATGCTGTCATCAATAAAATGTGATCATCAAAGTGTTATGCTATTACATGGAATTTCTGGCGAGTTTAAGCTTAGGTTTGAGAAATATTAAGTTACGCTTTAAGCCAAGGACAAGTTGGGGTTAGGTTAACCTAATAAAGGCGACGTTAGGGTTGGTTCGAGTTGGATTACAGTTAGTTAAGGGATATTTTCACGTTAGAGATAAGTTCAGGGAAGGTTAGGGTTATTGTCAGGTTTCGAAGACCTAAATAATTACATGCATAGAATGTGGTTAAATTACTCTGTTGATATAAGAATAGAACTTGAGTACTGTCTGTCTGTCTGGATTCAACATACAACTTGACACCGAAGTGCAGCAGTTCGAGTTGCCACGTTCCAAATAGCACACAAAGGTAGACAAGAAGATGAGTGGGGGGAGAATCACAATTATAAGAGTGAAACAGAATGGGTAATGGTAGAAAGGAATATGAAAGATTACAGAGACTGAATACATCTGCGCCATTGACAACGATTTTGAGCCATGTCACCTATTGTCTCCAGCCATTGATTCCTAGAGTCCCGAGGGCCCCAACCCGGAGTCTGCATCTCCCTACCTGACTCAGTTTAACTGTCAAGGATTTCATGGATTGATGGCCATGTTTTTGTTTGGCCACCACTTACTCTTTTCCAACCTGCACCTATATCAGCTAGTAATGCCCGTCGGGGGAGGCGATGGTTAGGCATGCGCAGCACGTGACCTAGCCATCTCAATCTATGTAACTTTATAGCCTCGTCGATTGATTTTCCCTCTTTGCCCAACACTCTACGCCTAACGTCAACATTACTTACCTTGTTAAACCACCTAACGTGAGACAGAGATCGCAGACATCTATGATCGAAAGCAGTCAACCTTTTCATGTCTTCAACTCGTATTGGCCATGTTTCAGAGCCATAGAGAAGGACGGAGCGAACTGATGAGCAGTACACACGTCCCTTGGTTGATAACCGGATGTCACGCCTACGCCAGAGATGGTGTAAGTCAGCGAAAGCAGCTCGAGCTTTTCGGATCCGTGCTGAGATTTCATCGCCAATCAGTCCGTTGGTGCTAATACAACTTCCCAAATAGGTGAAGTGGTCAACATGTTCTATCACTTCACTCCCTATCACTAAGTTAGGAGTTGACGTGTCAGTCCAGTCCTGTAGCAGCATCTTACATTTTGCAGGGGCGAATCGCATGCCAAACATACGAAGATTGCTGCTCAAGGTGTTCAGAAGACTCTGCATTTTGTCAGCATCCTCCCCTAACAGGACTATGTCATCTGCATATTCTAAGTCCATAAGACTATTCCCTGGTAACAAGTCGATTCCTAAGTCGTTACGTTCAGTTAAGGATACTTCCATTAGCATATCTATGATGAAGTTAAACAGAAATGGGGAAAGTGGACATCCCTGTCGGACACCACTGGTTGTTACCAATTCAGATGACAATTCCCCATAAGCCCTTACACGACTACGTGAGTTTGAATAGAGTGCCTTGATTAGTGCAATGTACTTTCTTGGCACTCCCTTCACAGTCAGACATTGCCATAGTACCTTTCGATCCACGGAGTCGAAGGCCGCCTTCAAGTCAAGAAATATGGCAATTGTTGGACGCCGAAAAGTGTGTCTATGTTCTAGAATCTGTCGAAGAGTGAAGATATGATCTATGCACCCTCTACCTGGTCTAAAGCCTGCTTGATTTTCCCTCGTTTGTTCCTCCCGAGTTCTGCTTAGTCTATGCATGATTACTGAGCCTAGGATTTTAGAGACTATGTTCGTTAGGCTGATCCCCCTATGATTATCACACGAGGACTTGTTTCCCTTCTTGAATATCGGTATAATAAGTGACTTACCCCAGTCTGATGGAACTGTCTCTGATTCCCAGACTTTGCCTAGTACCTCAGTTAATCTACAAACTAGTATGTCACCCCCATATTTAAACACCTCCGGAATAATTCCGTCGGGTCCTGCCGCTTTGCCTCGTTTCAAATTACTGATAGCTTTTGTGACCTCACTTACAGACGGCGGACCAGTGTCTATATCCCATTCGGTGTGTGCTGGATGTCGGGGAGGTTCAGTGTGGCTGTAGGCAAGTTAAATTGTCCCTCAAAGTGTTCTTTCCAGCGTTCAAGGCGTCTATCCTGAGAGCTAATTAAGGAGCCATTTTTCTCAGAAATAGTCTCACTTATGATTTGCCTTCGCCCACCCGTTTCCCTGATGAGTCTAAAGAGTTGCCTAGTGTTGCCTATCGCCGATGCTTTTCTATCCACCACTGTTCACGGTCCTTGCGGAGACTTTTAGTAAGTTTCCTTTTGTGCAGCTTTCGCTCCTCATTGAATTCGGAGCTCGCCGGAATAAGTCTTCTAGCATCTATCAGTTCGGATGAGGCAGTCGAAATCCAGTGGTTTTTACTCACCTTTGCATTTACCTTATTTACAGCTTTTATAGCTGTGAGTACTGTGGTAGAGTATAATTCCATTGTGGACACAATTTATTTCGAAAAATTTTCACAGTGTTATACATTAATATTTACTGATGACCACGTTTCGAGCACAGTTTACCAACCCAGTAAATATTGCTGGTAACACCATGAGATCCTGTACCATGAGATCTTATCAAAACAAATTTTACCCACAATGGGATTATTCTCTGTTGACACTCCGACCTAAAACTGAGAGCTATTTTTATCACATGTGAGAGCATGGTATCCTCTGTAACACTTTTCCACAGTTTTTATGCATTGTTTCATAAATATATGTATTCCATACACGAAAATACCTCCTTTACGTGATTGGTGCGTTCAATGTCATTTGGTGATTGGTAGTTACTGGTGCTTATAGTCTAAGTTTGCCAATAGGTGACCGGTGATCCTCTATTTCGAATGATTCTTCAGTTGATGTTGATCTAAACTGGAATCTACACTGACATGGTCAATTTTTTATCGCTTTGTTTTCAATTCTTGCTTTCTGAATGAAAGATATTGGTCTACAGGTGTTTTTGAATTTTATTCGTAGGGGTGTTGTTTTTTCAGTGCGGAGTTTTTAACTTCTCGCCCAAGTTTCTCTCTTTATCGGCTTTATTATAAAGTGGTAAACTTGGCGAGGTTTAAGGCTAAATCAAGTGGGAATCCAACCATTGAACCACTGGCGTGCATACACTTACTACTAAAATACTTAATACTCAGTAGTACATGTCGTATTTTCAATGTTTTTTTATATTTACTTTATTTGTTTGTTGTTTTTTTCTCTTACGCTAAAAGCTTGAAGAATTAAGCCGTCAAGATTCACAGCAACGAACAGAATTCATGAGAATACAAGAAGAGAATGCAAAACTGAAGAATGCTTTAGACGGTACACGTGGTCGAGATGATCAACTACGCGCTAAAGTATGAATTTTGTTTCGTTTATTTTATTAGTTTTTCTTCTTAAAATCATTTGAATCTGTTTGTAAAGGTGTTTTGATTAACTGTTTGCTACTGTTATATCGTGTTTCTATTCCTTTGGAGGCCATCCACGGCCAATGAAATAGCCTAATACCTCTTATTAAAGCACTGGATAATGAGTGTTCTGATCTACTACGGGATCCTCTTTTCAGTTGATTTGCAGATATGTCTTATTGACGTGTGCCAGTGAATACAGATCAGGTCGTTTATTAACTACTTCCAGCAGTCTAATGGATATGTATTTTCATGTGTCACTTGGTAGCAGTCGGATTGATTTTCACTTAATCTGCGAACTGATATCTATCCGAGAACTGTCGAAAACCCCTTAAGTATTCAACAGCTGTTTCATCCTAGTTTTGGATGTTACTGCATGATAAAACATGGCACCAATCCCATTCCTGTAAACCGACATTTGTAAACCGATCTAATTCTCATTAGTGACTCACTACAGAATAGACTTCCTGGAATTCAAATTATAACTTGGTCACCGACAGGATCCACCAACTCAGTTTTTAGGATAGGTATTCGCTGTTGATGTAAGCTGATAGTGGTACTACAAATCACCATTTAGTTTATTCGATTTCCTCCTGTTGGTAGAATGATCAATCTTCTCACCTCATAGTCAGAAGTTGGATTTGAACTCCTGTTGGAGTAATATGTAGCTACTGATGAAGAGTCCAGTTTTGGGATGAAACTACCATCCAGTACTCCATAATCTCCACTGCTTCTTTAACTGATGTTCGTTCATAAGATTTGAACTCATTGTACCGTTAAGTGTGGGTATTCAGTAAATACGATCTGAATGGAACTGACTGTTTTGTCAGGATATCTGTTGTATAGAACCCGTACATACTGAAGTGTGACTAATTTAGATCGCGAACGATAAGAAATTAGAATTAGATCACATAGACGAATGATCGTTGGACCTGTTCACTCCAAAGTATTTAGATTAGAATATGGTAACTAGATAAATGGCTTAATAAGGGCTTTCTTCTGACAACTTTACGATTGAATAGTTTTTCAACCAGTCATGAAAAACTGAGTCCAATTCTGTTTGTGTAATAATAAGTCACATTTAATAACTGTATCATCATTATGCCTTTTCTCCACAAAACACATATGTGAGGAATTGTACAGTATCTGAACACTCGAACGATAGTCAGTCAGTGAACTTAGTTCGATTAGTGTATGTTTTTTCCCCAGATTTTGATCACCAGCTGACTGATCGTTTAGAGGACCACTGGAAAGCTTGAGTGTACTGAATGTCTCTTTCGTCCTAGTTATGGACTCTTCAGTAGTATGTACCAACTGGGGTCTCAACGCAGAACCTTTAAACCACAAGGCGAGTTCGTAGACCATATGACGACTGAAACAGAATCTAATGACTTGGCAATTCCAACTTCTGCCAATTCGCGACATGCAGAGCGCGAACCCCAGTCAATGTCATAAGCGGCAATTAACTGGTGGACCCAGATGGTCACAAATTCCCATTAGATTTCCAGATAACTTCAGGCATGGAGCAAGTCGCTTAATTTTCCATTGGTTCTCGAAATTGCTGATGTCAGCTCATTATCAAACCTGTAACAAATCCCTGTAGACCAACATCTGAAAACATAATTTTTACTTAATTTTGATGTGGTTGTGTTCTCTGAGCTGGATAGTTAATTTGCGAAGCTTTCATCACCCTACTAGGCAACATCTACAGAGCATACTTCAATTTGAATTTAGCTTTTAGATTTCCCCCACGAGTTTATTTTTTTGTTTTTTTGTTGTTTGTTATATTTATTTTTTTTGTAATACTTCTTTTAAATGTGCGATGAAATTAGATGCAATATTGCAGGTGTGTGTTTAGAATTCCACACTGTACCACTAATACTGTTTCTGGAATAAAGCAAATTATTATTATTATTATTATCATCTCTCCTGGTGACCTTGGTCGTGATTGGTTGTTTGTGTGTTTTCACACCTTCTAGGCTACTTGTATTGGAGCTGATTGTTTCTTTGACCTGAACTTTGACCTTTGGTGTGTGAAGTTTCTTTCTTATCGGTTGATAAATTTTGTCTATCTCTATGTGTCTATTGATTGATGATTCACTGGAATGCCAAGCTTCTAAAAATTCTCTAGCATTCTTGTTGTTTCCTCTGTTTAATATTTGAACGTTTTCCCAGTCGATTTGATGTCCGTGTTTGTCTGTATGTAGTCATATGAGGGAGTGGATGTCATATCTTATGACGGCTAGCTAATGATTGTGGATACAAAGACGAAGAGGACGTCCACTTTGGCCAATGTAGTGTTTTTTCGCAATTGTTACAATTTATTTTGTATTTATTCGTTTATTTATTTCTTTATTCTCAATAAACTCATTTTTCTAGTGTGAACAACTTGAACGTTCTTTGAATGATTCAATTGAAGAGTCACGAAATCTACGAAATCAACTAAATAAGCTTATAAGTGAATCAGATCGTGAAAAACAAGCCGCTGAAGAAGCACTGACACGTCTACACAAAGAATTATCAGCTTTAACTGATGCTAAATTGAATTTAGAAGCTGAAATTGCTGCTTATAGTCGTTTATTAGATGCACAAGACAGTCTTATATCAGGAACAAAATCTGATGGTGGTGTCCGGTCCAAATCTCCGCATCATCCGCACCAACCACCACAGGCACCAAAACAACCCCTTCCACTAGCACCACCACCACAACAACAACAAAACTCACTACAGCCAAATCGTTATAGTCGGCCAACATCTGCAAATTATCGATCGTGTAATGAACTTAACGTTCGTGTTCCATCCTATTCGACGAATTCACCAAGTCAGCATGTAAAACAATCCAGTGATAACGCGTAAGTATTGCGGTGTGAATTACACTATTATTGTCCATTCAGAGTTGAAAGTGAGGCACATCTTGATTCAAATCGATTCTCCGCTATCACTTTCATCTGGCTCCACAACTGTCCACAAGCTTCCATTTCATTTTCACATAGTTTTGTCAGCACTCAGCTTATCAATTTCCATGAGAGTTCTACTTAAAGGCTATGCGGATGTGTGGATATCTTTTTGAATATCTTCACACATCCTATGTCAAATCCATTCCTAATTCCATTTTAAGTATTTGTTAAGCAATTAGTTACTAGTTGTTTGAGTTACGCAAGCATTTACAATCATGCCTATCTGTATTTTTCTCAGCTTAGAATTTTTCTTCACACCAAATGTATTTTAGGTGATAATTGACCTCCTTCGATCAGTCAACAAATCGATTGATTGGTTGATCGATCTACTGGTAGTGAATGACTTGAATAATGTGACCAATTAAACTAATTGATAGAAGATTTACGCTATTTTGTTTGAATCTGTTTCAAATTTGTTTCATACATGTTTGCAACGACTGTAGGACTTTGTTTAAACAAACAAACTATCATTGAATAATAGAGTCAATGTGTTCAAACACGACACACATACACATTTAAGGACATTAAAAAATGCTAATTATTGATAGATTAACGTCATGTGTTAGTCATACTTTTGACATGGTATAGAGAAGAAAGAGGATTTACGGGTCACTTTTAATGCATTAAGTTCATACGACCAGTTACTTTTATTGGTTTCAATAAAAGAAGGAACGAATATATTTCCAGGAGCTGATTTTATTCCGTGAATTCTCTTCAGCTGATGAGTACAACCTAAACAAAGTATAAGCATGAGTAAGATAATTTCAAGGATGACATAAGTAGACAAGTATTTAGTGTTAAAGACGTTATTATTCATATAGTAGTTAGACCAAGGTGTGTAGAGTTCAGACTTCACTTGGAAACAAGGATTGACCGGAAACAAATTACAAGATAGAACAACAAACATAATTTACGCATATTATGGTGAAGACTTTAGAAGGATGGAGGTGAATAGTGAAATAAAGTTGTAAAATAACTAATCTTTGTAGAATCCAACTGGAAATTGAGTGCAACGTCAAATTGCAAACCATGGAAATCGCTACTCTACGCATTTCATCACAGAACAAAACATAGAATGGCATTCAAATCTGTAACTTAACTTGATCGACTTCGAAAACGCCTTCGACAGGCAACCTTGACCAAGATGTAAGTTGAAATCTGCTTCAACGTTACTGTATGCAGTGCCCAATTCTCTATCAATCTGATTGAACATGCCTGTCACATATCATGTGATCTACAACGGAAAACTCACCCAGTGAAGCGTTCGAAGTGAACATATGAGTAAGACAGGGCTGGCCGTCTATTATCACCGATGATATTCTTCATTGTGGTGGACTAGATTATGCGTCAGACTATGGGGAGTGAGAAGACAGAAATACACTGGACCATCTATGAGAAGACTCTAGAATATCTGGATTTCGTGTTTGGACGATTTATGTTTAGTGTCACTGTTATGTACTCGTCGCTAAATTATTGCTATGTACTGGTCGAGAATTGTCACAAATAGGATTTCCAAAAGGTTGAGGACTTTCGTTGATAGCTGTCTTTGCTGGTCAGTCAGAACGAATAAGCAACAAGAAAATCTGGCTGGAAAAAAAAACAACAGAAGAGAGCGGATTGTGCAAAATGTGTTGGAGAAAGTGGAGATAGATCGGGCATGCATTGAGGAAGCAGTCGAATGACTTCGCGTGCCAGGCCAGTGCTCGAGTGGAATCCAAATGGGAAGCGACGAGTGGGTCGTCCGTGTGACGATGACATGGAGGAGGTTGTGTGAGGAGGAGAAGAGAGACTACGAGCAAACGTGGACCCAGCTGAAGAGGACTACAGAAGATAGGGCAAAGTGGAGATGTGTTGTTGAAGCCCTATGTTCCACTCGGAATCCGAGGGAATAATAATAATAATCCCACAGGTCAACAGGGTGATATCTCTCTGACCTAATATATTCTCATTTCTTCACTTCGAAACTGATTCATTTTCAAATGTCTTAAAAGAAATGATAACCGATTATCAACTCACTGAGCTGTCCCATCAAAAATGTAGTATTGTGCTTCATCCAGCCTTCCTCATACCTTTCACTTTTGATACATCAGTAAATCAGAAGGTGAATAATCGGAGAAGGATTCAGATTTTTTTATTATTTAAATGTTTTCCCTCTCAAGCTGAAAGTTAATTGCCATAAATTATCATCTGACATGATCCCTGGTGGGGTGACGATCACGTGCTGTGAAGAGTCACAAACTAGGACAAAACAGTTGGGTCAAGTTAAACTTTAATCACGACTGACTACCAATGGAGTGTGACAGCATCAATGACCTTGAAACGCTCACTGAGCGAGTCGGTGAATCCTGCCAAACAATGCTGTCATCAATAAAATGTGATCATCAAAGTGTTATGCTATTACATGGAATTTCTGGCGAGTTTAAGCTTAGGTTTGAGAAATATTAAGTTACGCTTTAAGCCAAGGACAAGTTGGGGTTAGGTTAACCTAATAAAGGTGACGTTAGGGTTGGTTCGAGTTGGATTACAGTTAGTTAAGGGATATTTTCACGTTAGAGATAAGTTCAGGGAAGGTTAGAGTTATTGTCAGGTTTCGAAGACCTAAATAATTACATGCATAGAATGTGGTTAAATTACTCTGTTGATATAAGAATAGAACTTGAGTATTGTGGTAGAGTATAATTCCATTGTGGACAGAATTTATTTCGAAAAATTCTCACAGTGCTGTACAGTAATATTTACTGATGACCACGTTTCGAGCACAGTTTACCAACCCAGTAAATATTACTGATAACACCATGAGATCTTATCAAAACAAATTTTACCCACAATGGGATTATTCTCTGTTGACACTCCGACCTAAAACTGAGAGCTATTTTTATCACATGTGAGAGCATGGTATCCTCTGTAACACTTTTCCACAGTTTTTATGCATTGTTTCATAAATATATGTATTCCATACACGAAAATACCTCCTTTACGTGATTGGTGCGTTCAATGTCATTTGGTGATTGGTAATTACTGTCGCTTGTAGTTTTGTTTTCCTCCTTTTTTCTTTGCGTGCTGGCTGTGTTATTGTAGTTGCTGTTGATGGTGTGTGATTAGGACAGATATGTTAGCGCAGTAAGTTAGTTTTTGCTCACAGTCTACTAGGTCGTATTTCGGTTCATATCACTTTTCCCCTCTTAAATTCAATCTTATGGCATCCCCAGTCTTCCAGTTACACCTGAGCTATTCGAAGTCGCGATTGGCTGATAGATGAGATGCATAACATTGGTTTACTATGTAGTGACCAATCGTAGGACATATTCACGGAAATTTGTAATATTTGACTTGTAATTTCGATAAATAATGGGTGAAGTATTAGTCTTTGGCATTATTACTTATAACTCGAACGAGTAGTATGTGTGTATTGTTCAAGATTTTCAATATTCATTCTATAAAAGTAATAAATATTGTTTCTTTTCTTTATGTTGTGATCAAAAATTCACACAGTTCTAGAAGATGGATGGACAGAGATGAACCAAGTGGACAGTCAACTAGATCGCATCATTTTATTGATAGGACTGTTGAAGGTAAGCATGAAGCATACGCGGAATACCGAGTCGCCTGATTGAAATGTTGTTGTTGTTTTTTATTTAGGCTTAATATAGGTTGATTTCACCGGACAGAAATGTCCAATCTCCATTGTCCTATCGAATCTTAGTCTGGATATTTCAAGGGTAATTTGAAACGCTTTATATATATATATATATATATATATATGTTTGCACAATATATTCTCTTCATTGACTATCTTCAAGTCAAATAGCAATCTATAGTATGTCATTTGACTAACTGCTATCTCATCTGCAGTATACATTAACCCTTCATCTTCGAGAAAAATATATTGGTAGTTTGTGAGTCAGTGAATCAGTGGTATAATACTCACTAACCACGTAAGTGGTCCGGGGTTCGAAACCCATCTGATACACTACTAAACCTAGAGATAAAGGCCACAATTTTGAACTTGCGTGAGGCTAGCAATCCTATTACCATAAAAAGGATTAGTAATGCTACTGAAGCTTCAAAGCCCAATCCTGAGTCCTTATTTTCCACGTGGAACGCAAAGGAATAAGATAAAGTGCGAAAACCATTTAAAAATTTAGTGTGAGGACATCACTGAATAGTTAGAAATCAATAATAATTAGATAAAATCTGATGTACTGTGTTGTGTGAAAACTGAAGTAGCTGAGTTATCCACGTAGGCATGCCAACAGAGTGCCTAACTTTAGAATCTAGGATGTTTATCATATCCTATGTAAGACTGCTCAAATGGATATACTTGGATCCTGATGGCTACTGTCATAGCTCACTAGTTTATTGTACAGTCTCATTACGGAACAAGAGAAGATAAGAGATATTTTAACGGAATATACACATTTAGAGAAATTATGTATGCGCCTTATGTGAAAATTGTCATTTCCACAGATCTTCTGTATTGTGCTTGCTACTTCTACCCTTTGTATTGCATGTTTCTTTGTCTTCTTTTCGTGACTGGTTGTTCATTTGCTCTGGCTGACATCAAATCTACCTCTCTGCTATTGGATATCTTTGTGTCGATGAAAGTCTGTCTACATACTACTGAGAAATCTTGTCATTCGCACACGCCACAACCAGGTTATAGGTATATTCAGCTGATGTGTCAGAAATAGTTTCAAAACACGTGTTCTATACTCCACTGTTAGTCAATACCAACAACGACCGAATGCGGAAAACATACCTTTCAACCACACCACACGTGGTCCGGCGTTTAACCCCTGGCTACTGATATATTCCTAGCCGGTAGTAAGTTTGGTTAAGTGGAAAGATTGAGCATGAGTGAAGCTAGCAACCTCACCCCATAAAATAAAACAACACCACCGTTATCGAAACCGTAAAGTTCAAACTTCAAGCCCTATGTACCACTCAGGATGCAAATAAATTGAATAAAATCATAGTAATAACAAAGAAGAATAGAAGAGAGTTGTTTCCCTCTCTAGTTTGAAATGTTCATTACAAGAGACATTCATTTCATAAGATCTTTCATTTTAGAAATGAATCGATAACCCTTACTCACTTCTACAAGCTGATAGTTGAGATGCTTCCAATGATGTCTAGTGTAAACAACTCTAAGCAGCCAGTGTGTGTTCCAAGATGTTCAATTATTTCACCGGTTTCGATTCCCAGCCGACGTATTCCTAAACCTAGATTCACCAGTAGTTAGCCTGGGGAAGAGGGAAGGTTGAGCATGAGGCTACCAACCCCAACCCCTTAATAAAACAATAATACTCCCGCTATTGAAATTTTAAAGCTCAAGGTTGAATGAAGCCTTATGGTCCGCTCGGAACGTCAAGAAATCAAGAAGGGGGGCAGTGGGATTTGTGTCAACTATGTGTGTGTGTGTGTGTGTGTTTATTTGTGTCTATAACCAGATACACAGATCAGTGTATAGAATCTGTCACAGAGGTGTATCACTTCAGATACTTATTAATTTCGTTTCATTGTGAATGAGTCTGAGCCGCTTCAAGACAACAGCGTTTAACTCTTGATTCCTAACAGGCGAAATTGAAGTATCATAGCCAAATTCAAAGTCTTTCAAGCGTTGACTTTCAAGAACCAATCAGATACAAGGAATGCTATGAAAGGTCATTCCAAATCAAATTATGCCTGCCCTTTTTGGATTTGGAGACGGTAGATGCAATTTTCTAGGTAGGGGGAAGGTTGAGCATGTGACTACCAACCCCAACCCAACAAGACTACAACTGATGAAATCACTAGAGGTGAACCTTGAAGATCTGCATTCTACTAAGAACTCAAAGAAATAAATTAAATTACTGCTAATAACTTTCTTATTCATTCTTTTTACTACTTCCATAAGCCGATTAAAACGATGAAGATGACCTCCATTAATGGTTACTTATTTGCAAACTGAACAAATCGAAAATTTTTTATGATTCTTGATTCATTCTTGCCTGGCTGTGTTGTACGGATGCTATTGGGTGTAACCTCGGTATCGTAAATATTTACAGAGGGAAAGAGAGACGGAGAGAGAGAGAAGACATTAGTTATCAGACATGGAATTATTCTTGTAACTTATTTTTTATTTATTGGTTGAGTAGTTTTCTTTACCTTCTTACCTTTCGCTTGTATTATTATTTTTTTCTTAATCTGAAATGTTGGTTAGATAAACAAGTCATAAAAAATTAAACCATCTCAATAGGCATTAAAAGCTTAACTACCTAAAATAGAAATCAACAAATAACGCCCATATTATTTTACAGTATAACTATACCTTTTATCTGTTTTGAGAAAAATAAATTTATGAACGAGAAAATAAGTGAAATTTTTAGAGGGTTAAGCTGTCGATTTTTGTTCGCCCGTGATTTTTTAAATGTCTACGCCATCATGTTAAAAGTATTAGATCTAACAGGTTGTAATTCATAAGTAAAACGGAAGGTATATCCCGCTTTTAGAATTGGTTAAGAAAATCAACCAGTTATATGGAGATAAGTTAATTAACTTTATGAAAATTTACTTACGGAACCACTGAAAATCACCAGGACGCAGTGTCGTCATTGATTGGGACTGCTCAACCGTACGTAGTGACTAATTACTGAGTGATTACAGGATCAAGCTGCTAGAAGTTCTAGGTGAGAAGTGGTGGAAGACGGAGTCCACCAAATTAGGTTTGATAACAGATATCAGCGATAACATCGTCTGCCAATGGTGCTATATATGTATTGAAAATTGTCAGAAGCCAAAGTTGATGGCTCATTGGATTCTATCTCAGTGACCGAATGATCAACAGGCTCGCCTTGAAACCTGAACGCCTTCAATTTCCACCGGAATAGGTTCATCCAAAAGCACCATTGAACAGTCCCGAACTGAGGCGAAACACCTGTCACTGACTCTCTAACTGAAGTCAATTCGTGACCAATCTTGAGACTAATCAAATCTTTGTAGACCAACACTTGGATAAAACCTGATGTCTACTGACCAGTCAAAAATACTATAGATTAAAGAATTTATTTTTCAGACAGACTACAACTTGTAAATACAGCTTTTCCCAAGAACCATATTGTTGATGAAGACAGTTATTGTGATTTAAAGTGACTAATTTTTGATGGTATATACTACTGATCAATTGATGTGAGTAGTTGGATGTCACTCATATCAACCAGCAGTTGTTGCCATTTGGGTCAGATGTAGAGAAGTGATTTAAACACTAGGACGTGTGTTGCCCTCGTTTATCGCCCAGATGACCCTAAGCGATGAACTCGATTCGACTCAACTTCGAGATAACGCTTTGATACTTGGAGCCATGGATGATAAGTTGAAGTCTCAAAACAGGTTGGATAAAGTGTTTCTGAACTCAATATACAAGTTTTTTTCTCATGAAGACAGTCAGCGATTCAGATGCACAAAGAAGATGTTAACTCGTTTCTAGAGGAAATTATCAGTTTCCATCGTTCCACCCTAGCAGAAACTTCATTTAGAGTCATACACACATGGCGTAAGATCAAGCCAGTTAACAGGATTTCGCCTGGATCTTCTTCACGGATTTGAAGACCTCATCATCCATACGAGGAACGTCGCACTATTGCCGCCGTGTTTATTTTATTATCTTAATCTGTGACTCTTAATAAATTCTTCATGCTCTCATCTCCTATCAACTATTTCCAAATAACTGTTCAACAGTTAACTGATTAGTCATATGCATTTTCTCTATTGAGCAAGTTTATTCATTGTTTTTCTTCTCACATACTTTGATCTCGCTTTGTTACTGAATGAGAGTCACCTCTGTCACTTATTGGTAATTAGCACTGTGCATTTATAAATTGCTGAATAACTCTACAACGTTGATACGGAGTTACGTAGAATGGTAGTTACATTGGAAACGTGACTGATAGAGTGCACTCTGCACCAACGCTCGAGGACTAGACACATCACACCAGTTACTCACTAGTGTCCAGTCAAAATATCCACTACAGTCCTACAGAAGGCCAATCGCAATCCCGAATATATATGTGAAAGTATCTCTGACCAACTGCCACACTGGGTGACAAGGGTACGAATCTTAGAAGCGACACGGATCCCTTCAAAATGGTAGATATACCTTACTGACTGATGAGTGCCAACAAACATGAAACCTAGGTCAAGCAGTGCTTCCTGCTGATTCCTGCTTCCAGTCATCTTATGTCAACAATTCATAGTGCACTCTGATGTCCAGCCACCTAGCCAACTGGTCACATTGCACAACTGACTGATATGATTCAGTCTGCACCAAAGAAAGTAGTGGACACATCACACTATTTACTAGTGTTCAATCAAAGAGACCTAGAATTGTGTTGGAACAGGACTGGTTTGACTGAAAGACAATCTATCATATAGCCTCGAGTTGTCACACTTCAATAAAGCATGCAAATACACAATAAAAACGATAAAAATGTAGATGTTATCATCACAATGGACAAGAATGAATTGGAGGAGAAAAGATAACTAAATGAACAATGGAGAAGATGTTTTCCGTTTCAACAGTTTTGAGTCAGATCCT